CCTGAATCGGGAATCCTGATGAAATTCAGCCTTGCAATCCCCATTTGACAACATACACCGGTGATAGAGTTCCAATCGCAGATCAATTGATGGAGTGGATGCCCTAATTATTCCTCTAGCGTGTACCTTGTCCTAATTAGCGGGACATAACACATCCGAAAGGTCAAACCAGGTTACATGCAAGGTTCTTTTGTTGGCCTTTATATGAGCTAAAAGTTCGTGCATTGTCTGCGTGTGTTCTATGCAACTGTTAATTCCTTGGATGAAAGCTTTTTGTAGTGTGGTTTCGATGAGATGGTTTTCTGTCAGATAGTTGCAAAATTGGCGAGATAGGATCTGATAGTAGACCTTGCCAATACTGCTGTTCACGGCGAGCATGTGGAAATTAGCTGGCAGGGAGGAGTCTCCTTTCTTGTAGAGGGGCTAACTTGACAGCAGGACCATAATGGTTGTGCAGTTCCACTGAGCATTATCTTGGTGAAGAGTGTGGCTAACAGATGGAGTGTTGCTGGTAATTTTTTCAAGATGCCATAGGTGATACAGTCTGGACCTGGGGACTTGTTGGAGGCTTTGTGCTGGAGAATTTGCTTGATTTCTCTGGGGCGGATGGGTGATAGGTCAAAATCTACCACAATAGTTGGGAACTTAATGTCTGGGAACCACTTAAAACAATCAGGGGTAAACTGGGGTGTAGTTGAGTACTTGGCTGTGAAATATTCTTGGCACTGGCCCTGCTAAAAGTGGGACATACAATATCTGAGTGTAGTTCTCCTTTTACAAGGTGTTTTGCAAAGTGCATGAAGTTATTATGGAACAGTTTTTCTTCATGTTCGGCAGTTTTGTGGTCTTGCGTTTTCTTGAAAATTCCCTTTAATGTGTTGTAATGTCTGCCGCTTGAATGTTTCTCAACTTTCATGCGTTGCCCATCTTCCAAATGCTTGTTTTCTAAGTGTGTTCCTTTTCTGTTGTGCCTCAGATAAAACTCTAGGGTCATGGGCTATGTAGCCATTGGACTTACTCGATTTCACCAGTTCCGGTTTACTTTTTACAAAGTTGAACAGTATTGGGGTGAAGTCCTTGCCAGCCTCGGCAGGGCTGTGTTGTCTTGAAGCAAAGTCTAGATGCAAATTTTTTAGTTCCGCTTTCAGTTCCTGATTCCAGGTGTCCCATTGTGAGTGTAGCAATTTGGAAGTCACAAATTTGATAGGAGTTGTAAGGCAGGGCAGTACCCCTGGCCAGCTGGTCCAGCTGGATTTGTAGGAAGATTAAGACTTTGGATGGCTGCTCCTGAATGGATTGTCTGGGTGAAGAGGACAATTAAGGTCAGGGCAGAGATGAGCTTGGGATTTGTTGACATGATCAGAGTTACATGTTTACTTGAAGTACAGAGCCAAAGTGATCATCAAATTGCTCCAATATATTGAGATCAAATTCGAGAAGTTCAGTGTAGGCTTTTTTCGTGAGTCAAAAGTGACACTTGATCATGTGTGAATTTCTCCTTGATCGTTGCACTGGTGCAAAATTTGCAGAGGCTTTATGGAGCCTGGTGCACTCACCGAAAGCTCAAATTTGGTAGTGTTTGGTTGTTGATTTTTCGTAATCGCCAAATATTTTGGCGTCTCTGGTTTTTCTGATTTCTCTCTGCGTACTCTGTGTATGAGATAATCAAGAACCTGAGGGAAGTTCGAGTTAATCATCACCCTATTTCAAGATATTTGCCTGCTTGCAGGCCAGGGATTGCTTAACCCCTTCGCGACGGATGACGGTAAAAGCCGCCGTAAAATTTGAGATCCTCAGCCCACTTTTCAGCTATTATTCTCGACCCACGCTCGAGCGAAAATGGTGAAAGAAGGCAGATCCTGGCTCTTGTATTTATGGTGATTGGCCTTTGTGTGTAGCCCAGAAATGAAAAGATCGAATTTGCATCATAATCACCAATAGTCCCCACTTTGAAAAGAGGCAACGGGAATGTGGAAGGGTGAGTAGAGCCGCATGCCACCGAACAATCAGCCTTTTCACTGTGTACTTCAAAGGGTGCAGAACACGCAGGCAACCCATATCCCAGAGCCAGCAACTCCATTGCAAATGCCCCCTCTCAAGGAAAGATCTACTCAAAAGAGTGGACACTGCAATGCAACATGGCCAAGTCAACCTCAAAGTACTCAACAAACCACAAATCGACCTCTTCGTCTCGGCAGAAAATGCTCAGCTACCATTGTTTTGTACCAGGTTCCTTCACCCACAAGCCTGGGCCACAGCCGCCTTCCATATCAACTAGGAAGAGATGCTTGCCTTCCCTCCAGTATCCCTAATCCTAGAAGTGTTGTCCAAGATGGAATTGGAGGGTTGCCGTGTTCTTCTCATTGCTCTGTTCTGGCCACACCACCCTGGACTGACTAGCCTGTTACTACATGTCCCTCTCATCCTTTCACTCAGACCGAACCTTCTCCATCAGCTGAAATCCAACATACCTACAGCCAGCAGACATCCACTTGACCTGTTGGCCATTGTCCAACGATCATTCTGCACAGCAGGCCTTTCTAATGACCCTGCCAAAATGGCCGCAAGAGGTCAACGCCAATCAACTCACAAAATTGACAACAGCAGAATACAAAATTTCACTTTGTGGCATAAGGGATGTGGTGTGGCTCCAACTGAAGCGTCTATAACCTCAGTAGTCAACATTTCTCATACCTATTCAACTTGGGACTGCGGGTTGCATTCATATGCAACTACCCTTCTGCCATCACAGCTATTCACGGTGGTTTCCTGAACGGCTCCATTCTGTTGGACAACACCACCCTTAAAGACCTCCTTCACAGTATATTCATCAAGCATCTTCCTCAAGACAGCTCATTCTCTCTTGGGACCCATTTTTTGTCTTTCAGCTCCTTGCAGGTCATCCCTTCGAGCCCCTCAGGAAAGCCTCATATTACACACCTTGGTGAAGCTTGATTTCCTACTTGTAGTAACCACTTGACACTGAGGCAGCAAGATGCGGGTGTTATCCACTCAGGTTCTCCTGATGACAGGTTATGGAGTCTTGTTTGAACTCTCAAAATAGTATTTTGCCAGGACTGAGAAACTGAGAGATGCAGCATCTCAGCTTTTCATTACCTCGGTAAGACCCTATTGGCCAGCAGGTCGAGACACTATACCTAGATGGGCTGTCTCAGCCATCAAGTTTGCGAATCCTGAAGGGCTGACTTCTTCAGATGTTGACATGTCTTGTTAGACATACAAGACACTAATCACTCTTTTCTCTTTATCAATGCATTCTTGCCCACCCTCCTTCGGCGTCCAGTGTTTTTCTGCTGAAGTAGTGACCGTTGAGCACAGTGGACTTCTCCTCTGTGAGAGAGTCTGGGAGAGGATACCTACCCCAGCAGCCAGCGAGTGCCCGTCCTCCCCACTCTGGCTCAGATCTTGCACTTCAAAAAAAAAGGATGACCATGGTGGCGGCGCCATGCTGCATTGTTGCACAAGAGGGTGCAATACAGTTGATCAACTTTTCAGCTAATGGCAAAAGGCATAAAAAGTAGCAACTGTTTGATTACGCATTCCTAGCAAACTCTCTCACACTATTTTAGGGGAGAATTTGGCTCACCAGCTACTAGATTGAAGCTGAAACAGATGACATTTTCTTAGACTGTTTTCACAAGAACATTTTTATACCCTCAGTGTCAGCATAACAAATCATGTGGAATGTTGATACTCGCTACTTCAGTAATATGTAGACTCCTGATGTGTCAAGTCAGAAATACACTTGCTGTTCATGGCTTTGAAGAGGTGTGTTGGTGAGGCCATTTCTGTCAATTTTATTTTGTACTTTGCCCCAAAGTGGGCAGGTATCAAAAGCTCTTTGATTGATGCTTGAACATGTCCCTAGGTTCTTATGCCCATACATGCCTCACATATTTCTACTGTTTCTGACAGGATATAGATTCTTCAGAATCTACCCAGAAAGTTATCACCATTGTCCAGACTACAGAGCAGGAACCAGAAATTACCTCTAATAGCAGCAGTTGTGATTCAACGCCAGTGACACTTGCCTTTGTTGGTGAAGATTTAAATGTGAGCATTTATAAATAATCTTGCTGTAGATAGCAAAGTTAATTGCTACCAGTCTTTACTTGGTTAAAAACAAAACTTGTCTTATACCTTAGTGCATACATTTGACTCTCATTACTGTGAACTTGGTCAAGTCAAATTCTGCTGGTTATAACAAGCATATCTTTGGTCCCAGCAAAAATATGCATATTCCCATTAGCAGAAACTCTGTTACAGAGTTCACAACAAAAGATTTTGTGACTTCATTACGTGAAAAGCATTGTGGGTGACCTGTTTATAACAATCACATTATTGCAAGCAGAGTTATTTATCAGTAGGTGTTCCTTGTGTGAGTAAATCTTGGCCTGATGTAGAATCTTTTCATGTGAAGGTGCTTATTGTTGGACTGTGCACAGTTGGTAATTGTCCGCAGTGGTTACTAATGCACCAGTGACGCATTCCCGTTACCTTTGCCCGTGTGCATTGCCAAAGGAAATGATATAAAAGAAACAATCGATTTTATGAAGGAGTTTTGCCAGCCTTGCGAACGGCTTTTGTCATGAACCCCAGACTCCTAATAACTTAGTGAATCCCCTGCCCCGGTCATTCAGATAACTTGTACATGTACATGTGTATGCATGCATATACAGTATGATCTGTACATGTAGTAAACCGAAGAGTGGATGCAATTGCACTGCACTCCATATAAAGCAATTTTCAGACACAAAAAAAACAGTTTCACTGAGTTCTGCGGATGTATTGCTTTCAGCCCTTTTTTCAATTTCATAATCGTGTTTGCATTGGACTTATTTTTGTAAAACTGAAAGAGACTGTTGTCAATTTGACAAAATCAAATCCAATGCAGACAGCCCATCAACTCTCATAATTGTGAATGTTACATGTAAGTATCAGTTGGTAGGTTTACCTTCTGCAGCAGAGGCTTTTCAGGGCCAACCAGATCATGGAAGAATGATCAAGAAATCCTGTGCAGATGGATACAGTGATGCAAAACTTACATTTTGATCTCATGCATGGGTTAGATGGGATATACCCGTATAGCACCTGTTGTTTCCTGTGCACACTTTCAAGAAACCTTGTTTCAAATACTGGGTCCAGGTTACGTTCTGAGTGGTTATTACTTTTTGAATTTTGTGAGGAAAGTTGGGAAATAGAGACCTTTTACATCAGAAGTGACTTGTCATTACTGCAATATTTCTACAGTGCCGTATGTATTAGCTAGTCCACCAGTTTGGACATCGTATACAGCATATGCTGAACACAGGAAGAATTCTAATACATGTATGTATAAAGAAAAACCTGTTTTAGCTTGGCGATACCAGGTGAATTTTGGAAAGTTCCCCTGAAGGCCCTGAGTATCTGTCATTAGAAAGGACAAATTCAGATATTAAAAACCATTAAAAGAATTTCTGTTGTAATTCAGTTGAGGTTGAGACCTAATTCATGGTGGGCTGTTTTGTTACTGTACACAGACTCCCATATAGTATTTGGGTATAATGCAGTTGAATATCACCGCTGCACTGGTACACAACCTACCATTCTTAAGTTTGGTTTTAAAGACCATATCAAGTTTCATTACTGTAAGGCAAATAATTGGAAGCACTCCCCTATCTCTATGGAGAAGGCTGAGACAAGTTCTGCTTTCTCAATGCACTTAAGCCGAATTTATCACTGAAGCATTAACTTATGGGAGATGCTATCCCATTATGTACATGCATACATGTAGTGAGGTCCCCTTATGCGACATGGCAATATCAGTCGATGTTTCCCAGCCCCTTGACTTTCCTTATTCAGTGCTGTCAACCTCTATGTTGACAGGCTTCAATTTCACTTTATTAAATTCTGATATACCTTAAAAAGGCCAGCATTTGTTTATTGGATTATGAGCATACCGGTAGCATGGAATTTTGGAGGGCTGGTGGATGAAAAAAATACTAAATTAAAATGCTAGAGTTCCATTTTTTCCTTACAGTGAACTAATCTTGGGTTGGAAGAGAACAAATTGAATTTAGTCTTTTTTCTTTTCAGAATACTGAAAACACTGTCAAGTATAAAACAATTTTTTTTTCAAATACTGCATTGTTTGGAGTCAGTGGGTTCGTAATCAAACTAATGACAAAATGTTGGCCAATGCTCACTGTTGAACCTTGTGAATAATTTTTATGTCATGAAATTCAGACTGAAATTCAAAACACTGGTGTCTGGAAATTAGGCACAAAATAGGAGGATTGGTGCACTTGAACAAATCACAACAAAGTCTTGCTCTCAATCTTGCCCATAAAGTTGCGGTCTCAATTTTGGAGTTTATTAAAGGTCTCAGTCTCAATTGCCAGGTTTTGGCTTCAGTCTCTATCTTTTTAGGTGTCAACTGCCACTGGCAGTGGAAAGATTTTCAGGGGGGGGGCAGTTGTGAGACCATCGGGCATTCGCCATGAATAGGCTGGTTTATTAAGCCCCACCTCATTACAAGACCAACAAGTGGGGGGGCATACCCCCTTTGTCGAAAAATGGGAGTCACTGGCGCCCCCTTCCACCACCAGTGTTGACTGCATCACTGTTCTCCATGGAAACGTGTACCATTCATTTGGGACCGATGATTTTGTCTTAACTTGGTTTGCAGTAATGAGAGCGGACTGTATATTGATGTATAGATAGGCTCTTAATGATGTTATCGTAACAATGTAAGAATTTGGGTAAAGGAACTGCATGTGCTGGGGAGTCCTTTCAAAAATTCTTAGTAATTTTCTCTTAGTTATGATCAGGTCCAGAACAGTCTAAAATATCAGTTTTACCCAACTGTATATTCTGCCATCTCGTCTTAAATTTATCATCCCTTTTGATGAAGGACCCCAATAAAAATTGCTTGTCATTTGGCCAGTGTAAGTCTTCAACGTATGACCTATTGCTCTATGTTTTCACCATTTCTTAATAGGATTGTTCCAATGTTTTCTTTGTGACTGGTAGGAGTTGAAGACTGCTAATACCACTGTGGACAATTCATTACATCAACAGCTACAAGAAGCTCAAAAACAAGCTGAAATATACAAACAACAACTTGCAGCCAAAGAAAGAGAAGCTGAGGACTATCGTAAGAGATTACAGGAGATATCAGGGAGCAAAGACTTACAGAATAAGTAGCATGCTCATACACCATAAGTGTACTTCAGGTGTGTCATGGTAGGCTGAACTTGGGCAAGTCATTGCAATGAATTGTTAGGGGCAAAGACTAATCCTGCAGCTTTAAGAATGCACGTCTGACATTGCTAAGAGAAGGAGCAGGAGTCTCTGATGACGACATCACTCTGTGTTGAATTTTCACTGGCCCTGCTTTATTATGTTCACCAAAAACAATTGTGATTTGGTACTAAATATTTCGTAGAATCATTTCGATTTCATCCACCTCAAAGAAAGGATTGCAAGAATTTCCTGTTTTAAAATTGATTCATTCTTCGTTGCAAGATGTCTATATTTTCCTTTTGTGATTTGTAGTTCTGAAGTTCTTTGTAAAGAAAAATAGAGTAAATTTGAAATATAGGCCTACATGTATAAAAAATCAACAAATTATGTATTTTCCCTGCAAGAAAAAGAGAAAATGGACAAAAGCCTTGTGTTATGTTTAAACGGATTCAGAAGCTCAAGTCTTTTCCTTTTTGTTCCGACCCCAAACCCTGTGTACATGTTTTATGGCACCGTCGACTTATATTACTGAAAACAAGCTTTATAATAAACTTTAACTGAGGTATAGATATCTGGGTCTTCGAAGAGTGATGCCATGACTATGACTGATTTCAATCTTTAAAGATCTTTAATTCTCACGATTGGCATGACGTCAATATGGCCTTTTAACACCCCAAAGGGGCAAAATTTCCAATCGCGCTACATGTATTCGTTGCAATGTAGACATGCACTGAAGTTTCCAGATGTCCGACTGCGAGAGACAAATCAATCGTGCGAACCTTCATCTTGCTTTTTGTGGCAAGTAGCATTCCTCTCTAAAGGCAAAGAATGAAACCTCACTCTTACCGTTTATGAATCCGCTCAAAAAAGAGTGAAAACTACTCTTAAAAGAGTGAAACAACTCCAAAAGATGAGCCATAACTTATAAAAGACTCTTTTGGAGTGGTTTTTATATAAGGGACTATTTTTGAGAGTGAGTTGTTTTTCACTCTTTTCATTTGTCTTCAGAGAGTGACCGGGTAAATTTAGGTTTTTTTATCGTGCACGTGAGATCACTGGACCCTTGGTTGTGGTCGACACTTCAAGTGCCTTATTTGAAATCGATAAAGATAAGGACTTGACGTTTCTTATTCCTCCATGCTCTACGGCGAGATAATATTCCTCAATACCTGGACTCTCTTATATGTAATCATGGCCTTAACTACCAAAGTGCTTGTGCGCAAGATACATGCTTATCAACAGCATTCATCGCAATAGTCGGTGTCTGATTTCGCTAAATGAGGCGTCGTCTTTTTTATGGATTTTCTGGAAATGTGCCAGAACAATGGAATACTTATGATAAATTCAAAATTCATAAACAAAATGATAAAGCATAAATGTATGTCTCAGGAACATTGATTTCGTGCCCTGCGTCCCAGAAAATCTACAAAATAAAATACTGCAAATTGAGTTTGAAGCAACGTGCGCGCGCGCGTAGTCCACTGGTTTGTACGGCATTTCGTGGTTCTTCTGCGATCGTCCAATGGGAGCCTGCAAAGCGTGGTGCGTCCGCCTTTGTGACAGTCAAGAACCGGATACTCTCGCTAGAAGGGGGTATACTCCTGTACCCGAGTGTAATGCGCACGCATCCTACTCGTGTTAACAGGACTAACCGTGTGAATGCACCAATAGTAAAAACGAAAAATCAGTTGACCTACTTTTCGACCTTCGCAGTCTGGTTTTTTTTTCGTGTACGAATGGCAGTCGGATTTGTGTCTCTTCGTGAAAACGCAAAATGCAGTTATCGAGATTTTAACCCCTAACAACATGAATGTTTTTGTCATTTCATTAATGATATGTGGCTTGAGGAAACATGTCCAAAAGGTCAAGTAGGCCTACGATGTTTTAGAACAAAAAAGTGCAAAAATCGAAAAAAAACATTGCCATTTTCGACACGTGTCTTCGAGAAAACAGTGACGACTTATGTCATTTCGAATAGTCCAGAAACTTGTAGTCCTAACGGTGCGTGTCAATTCAAAACCACCGTGTATCGATTCTTAACACCAAAACGGTATAACCAAATATTGGGATGATGATTTTATGTAAAATTATACAACCTTTTCATTATTGATATTATCTGAGTACGTAGAGTCGTTAAATTGGGGAGATTTAAATTTCAACTACACCGCTTCCACTGCTATAGTCTACTGCCCGTATCCTGACTTCAAAGTCGGCGCGACCAGCGCAACACACGAACATGTACTGTACATGTCACCAGTACATTGTGCTTGATCCCAGATTCGCTGCCGCGTGAGTGTGTTACTGGACAGGCGCCGTTACTCTTTATGTTTATGAATAGATTACAACAGATGTGGCAGATTTCCTACGCGAGTCATTACTAGAAGTAACCAGTGAGAACTGAACAGAAAAGGAACTGCAATATGGTAGGACTGTAGCATGGATCAATTATTGAATTCATGTATTTGATTTTTTTTTCGAATCAAGTTATTCTGATATAAAAGTCAGAAAATATCAATTTGGTTAAATTTTCAAAGCGTACATGTAGTGTAAGGGGCAGTGAGTAAACAAACACAGCTGCAGTATCAACTAATTAATTTTCCTTTTAAGTTTTTTTCCCCTGAACATGTACATGTAAAGGAATTGCATGGCCCACTAAACTTAACAGCTTTATCCAGAAGAAAAGCCACATGATAGTAAAGTCTGGCATCCATTATAATCCTCCCCGGTCATGCCTTACTGAAAGGTAAAATGCTATAATGTTGGGTATAGACTACAGTCATGCACATGTAGTAGCTTCCACGGTTTAATGTTGTTCAATTCTTCAATTTTTTTTGTTCACGGTATAAGTTACATTTAAACGAAACTCTGTTCTCCGCGAAATTTAGTTATCTTTTCCAACTCACTCTAAACTTAAAAGAACTGTGTAGACATTATGTAAATTGCAATTGTAAAATTGAGTGTCAAAAACTGGAATGTTACATCAAATGCCAAGGAATTGGCAAAATTTCATTATTTCATCTGTATATATCTGTGCGTTATTCACTATTTCATTTTGTATATAAAATAAACATCTACTTTGTAAGGTTCAGTATATTAGTATCCTTTGATTTTATTGGCATGCCATTAATGTCATGCAAGTGTGTCAATCTAAAATAAAGATTAGAGACTTGAATTCAATGGAGTAATATGCTCAAACCCTGTCACGTCTGTTGTCAGTTTGAAATTAACTGTACTGCAGGTAGATACTGTTATTTAAAGGGTAGCTGCGATCAATTTGTTTGAATAAAAACCGTTTAAATACATCTTTTCAGTCTCAGTTAACCTTATTTTCAACTTTTGCTTCACTATTTTAAAAGGTATTTCACTGTCCGTTTTGGTTTTTTGCTAATGAGATTATGGTCATATCCATGACCATGACTGTGATGTTATCCCAGGAAGACAGTCTCAATTTTACATTCGTGTGTGCACGAAAAAGTACTGCATTTTTGTAGATTTTGTAGGACTAAATTCTTTTCTTTGGCCTGTTTATTATTTATATGCATAGGAATAAGCATGTGTCAACCCATTTCTCAGAAATGTTTTCAGCAAGTTAATTCTGGGTTCACAATTGAACAAAAAACCATGCTCTGGACTCTGTGCTCCCTAGATGACATCACAGAAACAACACCCCCGTCGTCAAGGAAAGCATGGGTAATTTCGAAAGTTTCAAAAAGTGCACTTTTCAATGTGTTTAACCAAACAGGAGTGTAAAAGAGTTTTCATACACTGATGAAGAGTACAAAGTTGGAGAAAAACTGCCCAAGAAAAATGCATTGCAGCTAGCCTTGAAAATAGCAGTTTTATAAAGTGAACTGTGATTAATTACATCATACAGTGACAAGTCATTCATATGAATGGTGGTTTAATATTTCCAAATTACATTAAGATAATTTCTGAACATCAACAGCCTGTTTGTTTTATACAGAGTTGAGGAGTGCAGACACACTCACTATTCTCATTTGGTAACGTCCTTCGGAATTTAGAGGAATGAAATTCCTCTGCCATTTGCTTTGTCAGAAGAGAATTGATTGCATCCTTACGCCAAACATTTTGATCCATGGTAAAGCACCTGAAACTCTGCGAAACAAGAATCAAAGAAATAGGGAACGATTTATCAAGCAAAATTTGGCATTCAGTTGCGTGTACTATATCTCTGCTCCAGCAAAATTAGAGATAATCGTGTAGGTATGCAGATATATATATACAAATGACGTGTAAACTATTCTACGTGTACATGTATGTGCATAGCTGAACACACGTATTGGAGTATAAGAGTTTACTTTCAGAATTTCACCCATATGTTTCTAGACCCACCACTTCTTAAGGATTTTTATTCTCCTACACTTCAGGAAATGGGTGAAAGAAATCACCTAACTTTAGGCCTAGGTATTTTAACCGCCTTGTATATTTAATAATAAGAACCACACATTCAAGGTTGCCCATGGTTATTGACAAATTTGAAAATGGCGTCGTTCCTGATATTAAGCTCTGGCACTTCTGTTGTCTGTCTGTAGGTACTGTATGCACAGACATGTAAAAATATTAACTGTTTCGAGTGGTATAGTAAGTATATCCTCCCGATGTGATCCATGGAACATTTACCTCGGGAAAATAGTATAATGATTTATGGACCACAGCGGGACACTAGTTTTACTACACTAAGAGATGAAGCAGTCAGTATTTGTTTTATACCACCTCACCCACAAATTTACGTTTTAAGCCGCAGAGGTGGTAGCAAGTCAATTTTGCAGGCCAAGTTAAACGGCAAAACTGATAGTTACACAAGTCAAGTCACGATTCATCAAAATAGGGACGCATCCACTTCAAATGACTCGAGTCTACTCTGATAGGCCAAAATACACGCCTGGGTACTATTCATGCGGTTTCGTTGCTACGGATATCTGTACCTGTCCATTCACGTACAAATACCATTGCTGGTCGTCGCATACGTTTGGGTGGGTCATGTGCAAAGTCGGGATTAAATATTGAAGTGAGCCTTTGAAGTCAGCGTCTTGATGTTGATGGCTTCTAACTTGGCTTCAAAAGTCTTGACGTTGGGGGCGATGCGTAAGTCTTGGTCGAGGTGATTCCATTCACGAATAGACTTTGGATACAGTGAGTGCCTATAACAGTCTTTATTTGCCGGGATGATGTTATATTTGAAGGCCCCTGACTGCCTGGTATTTGGTTTACTAGATGAATTTGATGACTGAAGGAAATTTTCGATGTTGCTTGGAGTTAACTCATGAGTTTATAGATAGTCGTTAAGCGCAATTTAGTCCCTCGGTCATGGAATGATTCCCACTCTAAGTCAGCAAGGATTTTGGTAATACTGGATTCCCTGCTGTAATCTCCAACAGCAAACCGGGCAGCTCTCTTCTAAATTCTTTCTAAGTTATCCCCGTCCGAATTGTGTTGTTGATCCCAAATCCCAGAAAAGTATTGAAGTTTGGGTCTGATCAACAATTTGTAGGCTATAGACTTGGTGCTTTTGTTGCAGTAGTATAAATTCCTTTTCTACAAACCCAGCATTTTATTAGCCTTGGCAACAGTCTGATTGATATGTGTTGACCATTTCAAATCACCGCTAAGTTCAACACCCAGGTAGGGATGATGTCTCACCTCCTCGGGGGTGTGGAGACCCATCTTGTACTTCGTAATAACAAGCTTTCTTTTGTGTGTAACTCTCATGCTGAAACATTTGGAAGGATTGAAAGACATTTGCCAGTCTTTCTTACAATTGACTAATGCGTCAAGGTCTGCTTGAAATATATCTGAGTCCTCGGGTGTTTGTATCCTTTTATAGAGAATGCAGTCGTCCGCAAAAAGTCTAACCTTTGAGTGAACCTTCGCCGGCAGATCATTTATATATGCCAGAAAAAGCAAGGGTCCCAAGGCAGTACCTTGGGGAACCCCTGACGTAACTTAAGCTCTTTTTGAATATACACCCTCCAGCACAACCTGTTGGTGACGATTTGTAAGGAAGGATTTGATGCATTTCAATGTGTTGTTCCTGACTCCCATGCGTTGGAGTTTCATCAAGAGACGTTGGTGAGGCACTAAAACAAACGCCTTGCTGAAGTCCATAATAATTAGGTCCGCTTAGCCTTTGTCATCGAAAATCTTTAAAAGATCATCAACAAGAGCGGATAATTGAGTGTCGCGGGAACGTCCCTTGTGACAACCATGTTGAACGTCAACTAAGATGCGGTATTAATCAAAATGATCCAAGATGTGATGATGCAGGATATGTTCCAAAATCTTACATGAAATCGATGTCAACGATACTGGCCTGTAATTTACAGGCTGACATCTGTCTTCTTTCTTATATAGCGGAGTCACATTAGCACACGCCAAACATTGGGTAGGCAACCAGAACCAAGTGATTTTTGAAAAATCTTGGTTAACACCGGAGCGATTGAAGAAGCACATTTTTCAAGATATTGGCAGGAATAGCGTCGGAACCCGAAACCTTAATTGAATTCATATCTTGCAACAGCTCTTCAACACCTTGACTGTTGATAACGATGTTTGGTATGTCAGGGATTGTAGAGTCCATCATACCTGGAAAGTTTACAATATTCTCGTCGGTAAAAACTGAACAAAATTGATCATTAAGCACATTAGCCTTGTCTTTAGCAGAGCAAACTTTGATGCCATCAGGTGAATAGAGTGTGGAGACACCAAACACTTCCTGCAGTTTAGACTTGCTGAAATTCCAGAACGGTTTAGTGTTTGCCCCCCAAACTTCCACCGATGACATCGTGAACGTGCTCCTGCCTGGCTTTCCTAATCTTTTGGTCAGTCTGTCTGCGGTGCTGTTTAAAGATATCCCAAGCTGCTTTAGAACCATGTTTCTTGGCTTTTTTATACAGACGCTTCTTTTTACAAATATCTTTCTTGATGAAATTGTTTTATCCATGGTAGCTTCCATCTAGAAGAAGTCATTTTTGAGGGATTAAACTTGTCCATAGAATTCCGGTAAACTTGGTTAAATTCAGCCACAAGTTCGTTAACAGTCTCTGAGTCCACGTAGTCAGCAGTCAGCTTCTCATCAAAATTCTTGAGACATTCCTCTATTTCTTCAAAACTGGATTTTTTTTTATAAAGAAAGATCTTCGCTGGACGAACTAATTTTGGTTTCACTGATACATTCACAATCACCGCCTCATGATCACTGATACCAGGAATCACCTTCGTACTTTCCACAGAGGATGGCGGGTTAGTGAAACACAAATCAAGGATGCTGTCAAATCTAGTTGGTTCTTTCACCTGCTGATGCAAGTTGTAATCGAGTACAATTTCCAACATTGCCTTACTAGGTCCAGCATATCGACCACCCGGTGTGAATTCAAGTTTCTCCCAGTCCACATCTGGAAGATTAAAATCTCCCAGTAACCACACTGAAGCTTGAGGTGGAATTTTTCTAAAAGCACTATTTCCTTCACATAGTTGGTGTTGGTAACTTGCCAACGGTATTAAAAAACTACTACATACAGATAGGCGTCATCCCTTGCATGCTGATGCTAATCCACATGCTTTCGGTATCTGTCATTAGTTCAGATTCCATATTTGCTATGTGGTTATCCTTAACTGCAATGAAAACACCCCTGTGTGTGTCGCCAACCCTATCCTTTCTAAACACTTGATAATTTGTTGGGATGACATCCCTATGGTGTACTATTTACGACAAACATTTCTCTCTCTCTTCAGCCTCCCTCCAGGCGACGCGACCAGACGACGCGACGGCACGACGGCTCCCTTGCGTCGTGCCGTCGGGTTGCACCGTCGCCTTCTTGCCATTACGTTTGTACACACACGACGCGTCGCGTCGGGCGTCGCGTCGTGCCGTCGCCCGTCGTGTCGTGCTACTTTAGGTATTTTCAATGTTGCATTTTTTGCCGCCTAAACGTCGCCCCTTCCGTCGCCCATCGCGTTGTGCTGTCGTGCGTCGCGTCGTGCATTGTGTCGTGCA